ACCACCATGCCTAACCATCTATAATTCAGTTTACTGGATTAATATTTTTAACATTGTTTATATACTTAATATTGTTTTTAATGTTTATAAATTCTCTTTTTCTTTTCATGGACAGTTACATACCATCTATAAAATACAGGTTTTTGTTGGTTTTTTTTTTTGTTTGTTTGTTTGTTTTGAGTCAGGGTTTCACTGTGTAGTTCTGACTGTCCTGGAACTTGTTCTGTAGTCCAGGCTGGCCTCCAACTCAGATCCATTTGCCTCTGCCTCCTGAGTTTTGGGATTAAAGGAGTGTGCCACCACCGCCGGCTTACATTTGTTTTTCATTCTTTTTTTTTTTTTCTGTTTTTTTTTCATTCTTACTTTTGAAAATTTAAAATTTAGGTTGGAGAGATGATTCAGTGGTCAAGAAGACTTGTTCTTGCAGAGGACCGGGGTTCAGTTCCCAGCACTCATATGGTGGCTCACAACCTGTACCTCCAGTTGCAGAGGATCTGATGTCTTCTTCTAAACTGGACACACACACACACACACACACACACTGGACACACACACGTAACTAAAAATATGAGTAAAAAATTACAAAAGATGGCCATCTAAACTATATCACTTAAGCCACTGTAGAGTATGCCTGTAATACTAGCAGTTGGGAGTCTGAGACAGGAGGGAGGATCATGAATGAGTTCAAGGGTAGCCTCAGCTATACAATAAGACTTCATCTCAGTAAGAATAATAGCAGCAGAGGGCTGGAGGGATGGCTCAGCAATTGAGAACACTGGCTGCTCTTCCAGAGGGCCTGGGTTCAAATCCCAGCACCAATATGAAAACTCACAACTGTATATAACTTTAGTTCCAGGGGTATACATACAAAGGTGGTTAAAAACGGTAATAGAAGGGAAAAAAAATAGGGCTGGCAAGATGGCTCAGCAGGTAAAGTATTTGCTGGTCAAGCTGACTTTGGGAGTTTGATCCCTAGAATTCACAGTGGGAGGAGAGAACTAACTCCCCCAAATTGTCCTGGCCACATGTACATTAAAGCACATATGCACCTACATTCACATTATATACATACAACAACAATAAAAACTTTTTAATTTTTAAGATTTATTTATCTTATGTGTGTTTTGCTTGTTTGTATGTATGTGCCCCACATGTGTGCTTGTTGTCTGCAGAGGTTAGAAGAGCAGCATGTACACTAAGCCATTGCTTGAGCCTTTTTTTTTTTTTTTTTTTCTATTTTCTGTTTTTGAGACAGTCTCACCATGTAGCCCTGGCTGTCCTGGAACTTGTTCTGCAGACCAGGCTGCCCTCGAACTCAGAGATCCACCTTCCTCTGCCTCTTGAGTGCTGGGATCAAAGGCATGCACCACCACCTGGCTCTTTAGCCATTAAAAAAAGTTTTAATGTATAGTGTGTGTGTGTGTGTGTGTGTACATTAGGTACTTTTCTGTTGCTTTGATAAAACACCATGACCAAAGGCAACTTAAAGAAGAGAGGGTTTATTTTCACTTATGGTTCCAGAGGGATGTGAGTTCATCATGGAGGTGTGGCATCAAGTGGCAGACATGGCTGCAGAAACAGATGTAAAGCAGAGAGACCAAACTGGAAGTAGGGCAAAATTATACTCTCAAAGTATACCCCAGCAATGTATTTCTCTAGCCAACCTGCACCTCCTAAACCTCCCCAGACAACACCACCAACTGGGGACTCTATGTGTTCAAATACCTGGGTCAGGGGAGGGCAGTTCTCATTCAAACCACCACTGATTGTGTGTGGGTGTAGGCGTGCACATGCCACACTGCCTGTGTGTGAAGGTTAGAGGACAGCTTGCTGGAATTGGTTCTCCTTCCGTGTGTGTTCTAGGGATGGAACTTAAGCAAGAGGCATTACCTTCAGAATAGTCTGGTTAGTGCTGGATGGCCATTCTTTGGATATTAATATGATTATACACACACAGGCATATTTTGTATATTTTCTTTTTGGTTAGTTGTTTTCAGTTAGCATGTGTTTTGTTATGACATTTTCATTGTGTGTTTTTTTTTTCTTGTTTAGACCAATTTTGAGAGAGGCATTCATGATGCACTTAGTACAGTGCATTCTCATTGAGAACTAGTATCTATTGTAGTAAATATACCATAATTTACGTGTTTGTCTTTCTGCTATATGTTGATGGACATGGTCCATTTTCATAATAATCTTTTTCTGCACTTTTTTTTTTTTTTTTTTTTGAGACAGGGTTTTTCAGTGTAACAGAGCCATGGCTGTCCTGAACTTACTTTGTAGACTAGGCTGGCCTCAAACTTACAGAGATCCGCCTGCCTCTGCCTCCCAAGTACTGGGATGAAAGGCGTGCACTGCCATACCTGGTGCATGTTCTTACACATATATCCCAGTATGCTTTTCTAGTCATGGAACTTTGGGTTCATAGTGTACATTAAAAACATTTTTCTTTTCTTTTCTTTTCCTTTCCTTTCCTTTCCTTTTCTTTCTTTCTCTCTTTCTTTTTTTTTCTTTTTTTCTCTCTCTCTCTTTCTTTTTTTGAGACAGGGTTTCTCCCTGGCTGTCCTAGAACTTACTGTGTAGACCAGGCTGGCCTGGAACTCACAGAGATAGATGGGCCTGTCTCTGTCTCCTGGGTGATGGGATTAAAGTGTAGCAACGTGCTGAGTTTATAGTATGCTGATTTTTAATCTGACAGTATTGCTGACCTGTTTCCAAGTTGGTTGTGTCAGTTTAGGTTGTTCTAGGCGGTATTTGAATTTGCCTTTCGCTCCATTTGTTTGCCGTTGGTTGGCATGGCTAGTTATTTGATTGTGATTTTAGGGTTTTCAGTCTAGAATGGGCACCGTCTTGTGTCTTTTATTATTGATAAAATAATAAAGATCTTTTGTAAGGATCGGTTTTAAGTCTTGACAACTTGTATATTAGATTATCTTTTTTACTGACTTATAGGTGTTGTTTATGTATCTTTCATATATTTGTTTGGATATATACTGAGTACGTATGTGCTGCAGGTAGCTTCTAACTTACTAATGATGTTACTGTTTAAATGCTGTCTTTCTTTTGTTTTTAACTTTTGTTTTAGATAAGGTCTTCCTATAGAGCCCAGGCTGGCTGCTGTGAGCTCATGATCTTCCAGTGCCCCAAGTACTGGAATCACAGACCTGTACCAACACACCACAGTTTTTCTATGATACCTTGTTAAACAAGTTATTTCTTTTTCTTTGCCTCTCCACGCAGTTGAAGTAGTAGAATTTAAATAATATTTTCCTTTATGGTTTGTTGTTTTCACCATTCTTTTTTAAGGAAAGCTTTTCTTTATCATTAAGTTACGCAGTTGTTTTCATGTGCTAGACCTTCCTTCCACATTTAGTAACTCATTATGGATGCTCAGTTATTCTAACAATTTCTTGAGTATTGACACTTCTTGAGACAAATGCATAATCTGTGTCTCTGTGGTCTGTTTCTGGACTCTTTGTCTAGCAGTGTCTTTTCCAGACAGAGGATTCTTAGTCTAGATTTAAGTGCTGAGTAAGACCTCAAACCAGAAGCAGCAGGGGCTGGTGATTCCCAGCACCCATATGTTGGCCGTAACTCCAGTTCTAGTGGACCTCGCTTCCTCTTCTGGCCTCTGTGGGCACCAGTCACACACATTGTGCACAGACACACATGCAGGCATTCACCCATGTACATAAAATGAAAAAACAAAAAAACAAAAAAACAAAAACAACCGAGCAAAACCTAGTTTAAAAAGAGACCTACTTTAATAAGGGAACTCAGAAAATTTGAAAGTAAAAGATGGGGAAAAGAAGCAAATTCTGAGAATTCTGAATTTACTGATAAAAGACGACAGATATATAATGTAAGGAGAAACGAGAGCAGTTTCATTTTCTTGGGAAGAACTAGGTGTCTCAGTTTACTTTCGGGCATTGCTAGGCACAGGGCCTTTATGCTATTCTTCCTTAGTGGCTTTTAAAACTCAAGCCTGTGGACCACACCAGAGATTTGCCTTCCAGGATGGCCATAGCCTTTCTATCTGTCCCTGGACCCCTGGAAATTTTCTTCTTTCTTTTTTTCTCTCCCCTCCCTTCCTTTTCCCTTCCTTCCTTTTTTAAGACAGTCTTTGACTATATAGCCTTGTTGGGCTTAGAACTCTGAGTAGATGAAGCTGGACTTGAACTCAGAAAATCCATCCATCTTTGCCTCCCAATTTCTGGGATTAAAGGCATACACTACCATGCCTGGCTGGAATTTTTTTTTATTGAGGTGTAAGTAATTTGCTGTGTTTTTTCTTCCTCTTCCTCCTCCTCTCCCTCTTGTTCCTTTTTCTTTGACAGGATCTTGCTGTGTAGACTGTGCTGGCCTCAGACTCACAGAGATTCACCTGCCTCCCTAGTACTGAGATTAAAGGTATATGCCACCACACCCAGCCTACTATATATTTTTTTCATCTGTCGTATTTTCAGACATTTGTGGGAGACTCCATCCCCACCCTTTGTCCCTGGTTGTATTGTCTGTACTATTAGTCTTTCAGAGTCCTCTGTTGCCTCAGGTGCTGGGATGAACCCACAGTATGTGTATGGTAGGCAAGTGCTAAGCCCCCAGCCCTCTCACAGAGTTTGAAGAGCACCCCTCAGGATTAGAGAGATGGCTCGGGGGTTAAGAGCACCTACTGCTCTTACAGAAGACCTAAGTTTGGTTCCAGCAAGGTGGCTCACAACTGCCTATTACTCCAGTTCCTGACCTCTTGTGGATTCTGTGGGCTCCTGCACTCACAGGCACATGCTCCAACATACATATAACTTAAGTAATTCAGGAAACCACTTGTCTTTGTAGGAAGACTACTAGTCCTATGCCTAATGATTGCCTATGGCATTGGGTTATAGATAATTTCTTATCCTTATGTATCTTTCATATTTGTGCAAACAGCACGAGTTTCATAGCTCATAAGTTGTCCTTAAGATCCTCTGAGTAATATGCTTCTTTTTCTTTTGTTGCAGGTGGTGCGGTTGTGTCAAAACCCAAAGCTGGCCCTCAAAAACAGCCCGCCTTATATCTTAGACCTGCTGCCTGACACCTACCAGCACCTTCGCACTGTCTTGTCAAGATATGAGGGGAAGATGGAGACACTTGGAGAAAACGAGTATTTCAGGGTATTCATGGAGAATTTGATGAAGAAAACTAAGCAGACTATAAGTCTTTTCAAGGAGGGGAAAGAAAGAATGTATGAGGAGAATTCTCAGCCTAGGTAATGGAGACATACTACACAAATATTAACTCAGGTCTGTGACTGCCAGAATGATAATGCTAGAATTAGTTGAGTTGCTATGAATTTTGTTTTAATGGGAGTAGAAAGCTCACATTTGATATAAAATGTCTTGGTAGACATCTGGCCATTATTGGGTCAGATAGACTTATCTGTGAAAGAAAGAGTGATTTACACTTATGAAAAAGGCTGCAGGCAGTAGACCTTGGAATCCCTAAAGATAACAAGTTTGTGGGTAGATGAGAATTTGAAAGAGGTTAAGCTGAGGTTGGGAGAAAAGATGAGATCTTAGCAGAAGCCGCAACAGCTTGATAAATCACAAGGGTCAGATAAGGGAAAAAAGCTAGTGCTTAATTCCTTTTTGTTCTTAATTTTTAAAAATGCATGTGTGCGTGTGCACACAGGCATGTGTAAGGGTTCTCTCCCTTCACCATGTTGATTTTGGTTATTGGACTCACACCATCAGACTTGGCAGCAAACATCTTTACCTGATGAACCATTCCTTCAGCCTCTGTTTTTTTGTTTTGTTTTAATAAAGAAAATTGAACTGACATTTTCTTTATGTGTAAGAATAATTTTTAACTAGAATAACTAAAGGCACATGCACAGTGCCTGTCCTCCTCTGGTGTTGGGGATAGACCGAGGGCCTCATGCTTGCTAGGCAGCTGCCTATCATCAAATGTAATTAGTAGCTGTTGTAAATTCCTGCCAGAAAAGAACGTAACTAGCTGTGGGTTCTCTCCAGTTGGAAACAAATATTAACTTACCTGGAACAGATAATATAAATTCTAGTCATTCTTTTCCTCCTAAATGCTGAGGATTAAAGCCAGGCCTGTGAGTACTAGGCAAGTACTGTACAGCTGGGCTATATTCCCACATCTCCACCTGGAATGATTTATTTCTCTTCTCCCTACCCTGGTTATTTTGAGCCAGGGTCTCACTGTGTTTCTGAGGCTAGCCTGAAATTCTTCCCTTATAGCCCAGGCTAGTCTGAAACTCATGATCTTTTTGTCTCCGTCTTCTGAGTTATTGGGATTGCACCATGTTTTGCTGGAGTAAATTTTTTTTTTCCAGTTTTGGATGGACTCATAGTGTACTCCAGGGTGGCATATATGTATCCTGGGCTGGTTTTGGAAATGTGTACTTTAAAAGAGTTTGTCCTGGTTTCCTTTCTACTGCTGCTCTCCTGGCTCAGTCTCTCAAGTGCTGGATGCAGTAACTTCTTCCTGAGGAGTACCGACTTGATTAGAAGCAGCACTTAGGAAAGGCGTCAGTTGCTGTGCTGTGCTGTCCCTTAGGAACCTCAGTCCAGGTGTCCTTGTACTCTCTTGCTCTTTTGGCTTTGTTGGCTTAGATTTTGGCAATTCTAGATTAATTTTTTCCATATCATTTTACCTTTACTGTAGCAAATTACTCAGATATAATGTAGATGGTCTTTTCTTTTTAGAAACGTTTCTAGTGAACAAATTCAGTCTATCTTACTTTTGGTTTACATGCAGATTTATTCCTACTAAATGTTTAGGTTTCTTTGGAATTGTTAGAATAAAATCTTAAGGGCAGGGGAGATGGCTCAGTGGGTAAAATCTTCAGTGCTTGCTGGGCACTGTGGTGCACACATTTAATCCCAGCACTCAGAAGATAGAGGTAGGTGGATCTCTGTGAGTTTGAGGTCAGCCTGGGCTACAGAGTGAGTTCCAGGACAGCCAGGACTACACAGAGAAACCCTGTCTCAAAAAACAAACAAAAACTTCAGTGTTGGAGAGTAGTAGAAGTAGAGAGAACCCAGGGGCCTTCAGCAAGGCTAGTTTAAAGGTGGTGGGCTCCAGGTTCAGTGACAGACCCTGTCCACACACATACACACACGCACAAACACGAACACGTGTGTTCGCGCACACAAACACACACAGACACATGGAAGTGATTAGGTCCAAACACACATGTGTATAATATGCATACATATACATGAGACTTTAAGTCATAGAGCACTGTCATAGCATGCACAATACCTGGGTTCAAGCTCTACTTAATCATTTGATATTTGTTTCTTTTTTCAGTACTAGTGATTAAAGTATTGTAGTTTGCTTTAAAAATCAACTTGTTATTAAGTAGCAAAACTTGAAATGTATTTACCAGTTATTATAAGCTAGACTCTGTCTAATTTTAGGAGATGAGAAGGTACATTTATGTTGAAATATGTAATGTGTCAAGGATTATATATATGTGTACACACACAACGCAGTTTTTCCTGTTGGATGGCATCAGAGATGAACAGAAAATGTGAGTCTGAGCTAGATTTCGAATGATGAGTAGGAATAGTCAAGGCCAGTGGTTCTCAACCTGTGGGTCATGCACGACCTCTTAGGGGTGTTGAATGACCCTTTTCATAGGGATAACATATCAGATAGCCTACATATCAGATATTTACATTATGATTCGTAGGGCAATATTACAGTTATAAAATAGCAATGAGGAGGACTTTGCAGCCAGTCCTGAAGATACCTGATAAAACAGGGTCAGATGAAGGGGGAGGAGGTCCCCCCTAATCAGTGGACTTGGAAAGGGGCAGGGAGGAGATGAGGGAGGGAGGGTGAGATTGGGAGGGAATGAGGGAGCGGGGATATAGCTGGGATACAGAGTTAATAAAATGTAACTAATAATAAAAATAAAAAAATAGCAGTGAAAATAATTTTATGGTTGGGAGGTCACCACAATATGAGGAACTGTATTACAGGGTCATGGTTGCAGCATTAGGAAAGCAGAGAAGTCAGCCTTTAACACACTAGCAAGAACCTGTGGACTGTATGTTTAAAGAATGTGGGAAGTCTGGTTTGGCTAGAATTACAGGGTTAGATGAGGGGAAGTACAGGTTGGAGTCAATGTTTAAGGACTGGTTTTGACTCTAGACTGTCTCTTACATATAATCAGTTGTCTAGAACAGTTTCTATCTTTTTTTTTTTTTTTAAGAGCATTACTTGTTTTTCATATATATGTATTTTGGGGGTATTGTCTCTGAGGTGGGCTTTTGCTGTATTATTTAGGCTGCTCCAAATTCTGGGTTCAAGTGGTCCTTCTGTTTCCCCTCCCTGAGGAACTGAAAATATAAGCATGCTACTGTTGCCACCTAAGTACATTTAAAATTTTTTAAAATACATTTGTTTTTTTTTTTTTTAAAGGTTTACTTATTATTTATACAACATTCTGCATTCACACCAGATCTTACTATAGACGGTTTTGAGCCACCATGTAGTTGCTGGGAATTGAACTCAGGACCTTTGGAAGAACAGTGAGTGTTCTTAACCTCTGAGCCATCTCTCTAGCCCCATTTGTTTTTATGTGTATGTACAGATACACATACAAGCACGGGTGGTGTAGTGTGTTTCTGTGTGTAGGTTGAAGTATATTTTGCTGAGTTGGTTCGTTCTTTCTACCATGTGGGTTCCAGGATCAAATTCAAGTCATCAGGCTAGGCAGCAAGCCATGAAGCTTCGTAGTAAGTGTCTTTATACACTGTGACATCTTGTCAGCCCTAAGAGCGTTTATATAATGAAATGGAAACTGCATTCTTTTCTTCTTAGAGCATACTGAACAGTGCTTGGTGTTTGCTTTCTTTAATGATTGTCTTAGGGTTTCATTGGCTGTGAAGAGACACTCTGACCATGGCAACTCTTATAAAGGACAACATTTAATTGGGCTGGCTTACAGTGTCAGAGGTTTAGTTCATTATCATTGTGGCGGAAAGCATGGCAGCATGCAGGCCGACTTGGTGCTGGAGAAGTAGCTGAGAGTTGTACATCCAGATCGGCAGGTTGGATGCGAAAGTCACACTAGGCCTGGCTTGAGCATTTGAGATCTCAGAGCCCACCCCCTAGTGACACACTTCCTTCAGCAAAGCCACAGCTACTCCAACAAGGCCACACCTCCTAATAGTGCTATTCCCTATGGACCCATGGGGGCCGTTTTTCTTTCAAATCACCACAATGACTGAGAGCCATTATAAAACACTAGCTAAGTAGATAAACTCTGATGCCAGTCAGTTTTAATCTTTTCTTAGCCTTTTTTTTTTTTTTCAAGCTATGTGATTTTCATTTCCTTATCTAGACAGTGAAATAATAGTGCTATCATTGTGGGTTTTGGAGAAGGGTCTCTTGTATGCCAGGCAGACCTTAAACTCACCATATAGTGGAGAGTGACCTTGAACTTCTCTGATCCTTCTGTCTGCCTCTTGTGTTCTGGGGTCATAGGCACACACTAACACACCAAGTTTATGTGGTGCTGGGGATCTAGCCAAGGGCTTTGTGCAATCTGGGCAAGTTCTACCAAGTCGCTGACCTAGACTGTTTACACAGTGGCCTCAGCATCCTACACTCTCCCAGTAGTGGGATAAGGTTCTTACTTCTGACCAGCACTTGTTACTTTAGCCATTCTGCAGGGTGTAAAGTAGTATCTAGAGGTTTTAAAATACATTTTTCTAGTGAATAATCTTTTCATGTGCCTCTGTATCTTCCTTGAAGAAATACTTATTAAAATTCTTTGTTTTTTTTAATTTAAATTTTGCTTTGCTTTTATTTATGTATATATTCTCATTGTGTGGTACCCTGAGGGAGTTGGGTCCTCCAAAGCTGGAGTTACAGGCAGTTGTGAGCCATCTTGATGTGACTGACCAAACTCAGGTCCTTTGGAGGAACAGGAAGTACCTTAACAAAGGAGCTGTCTCTCCAGCTCCCTGTTCTTTTGTTATTTGGTTTTTGATACATCCTTAGAATTGAATATGTAGCTGAGGATGACCTGGAATTCTTGATTTCCTGCCTCTGCCTCCCAAGTCGTACAGTCAGAGGCATGAACCAAATAGAAAAGATGTTACTGTCTTTTTGTTGTTCGTTTGCTTGTTTTGAGATGGGGTTTCCTGTGTAGACCAGGCTGACCTGAATGCTGGGATTAAAAGTGAGCCACCACATGCCTGACCACAGTTCTAACACCTTCTG